TAAAATTACTGTATTCTACTTTTAAGAACTAAGATATAGTTATTGCTTATATGCTGTACTATTATTTACCATCTACATAAATTTACTCAGTTGTGTTGCACTGAATGATCATTTACAATGAAAGGAACATTTTCTGTTACAGGATAACAAACACCAAATAATTTTCTCTAGAAAGATGCATCAAACTGGCATTTCTAGCAAGAAAATAAACTTTCATCATTATCTCAGTTTGACTGCCATAAAAATTTTTATAACGGTCAAATTTCAAACATTAAAAAAAAAATAGTTATTTCTATAAACAAAGAAACAGAATGACACTATTTAAAAACTTTTCATTGACAAATCTTAATTTGAAAACAAGAACATTGTTGTACGAGATAAAATTAATACATTTAATCTTATGGCATCAAGTATAAGGCGACCATGCATCTTTTAAGTTATTTTACAACTAGAAAAGGGCATGATATGAGATGGCTTTACATAAATGAGCTTAATATGTTTACTTAATAAGGTTTTTGTAATATGAAAGATCTGATGTCTAAATACCATAAAAATACTGAATGCTTTTAATTAGATATATCACAAATTAAATGCATTCAATTTGAAAGAATAATACCTTATATTTTACTAAATGGCTCAAAGCTTATTGATTGATATGGCCCAGGTCAAATAGTGAAACATCTTACAGGATATTATATGAATATGCATTTAGACTAACATGAGAATTTTACATAGTGTTACGGATTTGGCATTTAAATAGCTAATGTTAGGAGAATTATAAATTAAATTTTTATTCCCCGTGCAGTGCAGCGCGTGGCAAATATTAAAAGAAAGTTAGCCGGAAAATTGAAAATAAAAGAGCACGTGAATTTAACATTTAATAAATAAATAAATATATCTTTTTTGATTTCAAGAAAGTTACAGAAAATTTTCGTGCGCGCTTTAAAATCTTATAAAAAGGAAAAAAAAACTCTCAGTTTGGATGATTTTAGCTAGTTGTTGTTGTTGTTGTCAGTTAGTTACTTAGTTTTGTTGTTGTTTTAAGAGTTTGTTTAGAAAACTGCTCTTGTTGATTGTAGCGAATTCGCGGATTAGCTTTCTTTAGCGGTTTTGAATTAACTTCTGTTGAACGTTTGAGTAGTTAAAAGATAAACTACTGTGAAATATTGTAATACTGAAAGAATATCTGAGGGAATTTAAGCATTTTTGTTGTGATAATAATAAAATTTTGTCCATTTTTCATCGGACTTGTGCATTCAATACAAACGAACCCGTACGTACGCAACAATATCTTCTGGATATTTTAAAAGTTAAAAATATGTAATTCTATAAAAACATTTAATGTTTAGATATATCATGAATTAAATGCATTTTTGTTTAAATGAATCAGATTATAAAAGTAAAAAAAAAAATAGTATTTTTTAGACGTGCATCTACTGCTTTTAATTAGTTTTTGTTAATTAATAACAGGCAGCTTAAATATGAAAAAATACTATCCTATGTTTTTTAGAGTGGCATAAGATTTGAATGAAAAGTGAAACAATTTATAAACAAATCATAATTTCAGACTAACAGCCTCGTTAAGCTAATAACACACTGACAGTGGAATCTCAACCATCAAACAGAATATTTACATGTATTCTTACATTATTTGCTGTCTTGTATCTGTGCTAGTTGTATTTTCTGTGCCATTATATATTTTGTGTGAAAAATGAGAGGGAAAGGAAATTCTTATATGGCTAATTTCAAACTACAGGTGATCGTATTTGATGAAAATTCTAATAGTATGAGGGCTTAGCATTTCTCTGTAAATAAAAGACAAGTTTGATAATGGAGTAAGCAAACAGCAAATTTCACCAATTATAATCAATTTGCCATTCGCTTTCTCCATTATCAGACTTTTTGTGTCTGCGATAAAGCAAACAATTTCAAAATAAAACAACTAATCACAAACAATTTCAAAATAAAAACAACTAATTTTCATAAAATGAAGATCTCATTTCCTTCAAAAAAAACTTCATAAATTTAAGAAATGTACACTAAAGAAATAAATTGCAATATCTGGCAATTATCGCTTGCTCCCAACTAAAAGTAAAGTACATATGCATTTTGCGAAATTAACAGATATAAGGCTTTGTTCAAACAGTGGTATAAATGTCATAGAGGCATAAAATATGAGAGTTCCATTCACACCTGCAAGACAGGATCCAAGCCGTAGTCATTTAGAGAAGTTAAATTTGTGCATGTGTGAATGTGTCGACAGCTTTCCCTTTCTGTTTTCCCCCTCAATAAGTTTCACAAGTTTGTCCTGATTGGTCAATTTGTATACAGTCAAAAGTCGTTAATTCGGACACCCGTAATCCGGAATGATCTATTATCCGGACCTTAAAGCTAAAAACTTTCTGCACATGCGCTGCGTTATAACATGCGCACATGACTACGCGTGTGCGTAAGACTTTGACTACTGCGCATATGCGTGTGCGCAAGTGCAGAATACGTTTTCGCCTGCGCGTTTAATGTATAACAGACGGTGTAAGCTAAAATTATCTAATAATCTATTTCAGTTAATGTTAATGATTGCGTTGTTCCTTAATCTTCGAATTGGATCCCGCTTATTATTTTTTGCAGACTGTAAGAGCAATTTTATAAAAGTAAACTTGAACTTTCGATTATGTCAAATAGAATTTCCGATGCTGGAACTTCCAAAGGATCTACAAAACGAAAGTATGTTTCGATGTCCAACAAACAAAAAGTGGAATTGCTGCAAAAAATGGATAAAGACATGAAGAATGTGACAGAGAGGTTAGTGAAAACGAAAAAATTTCGATTGACAAGTTAGTCGGTATTCTCGGCACAGCAATTAACAGGACTTGAACAGCGGAACTTTGTAACTGAACAAGAAATTATGTCTGTTTATAGAATTAAAGAGAAAGTATTATCACATAAAACGAAGCAACTTAAACAACTTACATTGAAAGAAATGTTTAATAAAGTAAACAAATAAATATTAAGCTTTTTTTTTTTTTTTTTTTTTTTTTTTTTTTGTAAATTTTGATACCCTTTAGATCATAATTGTTTTTTATTTCATAAATTACGGTTTCATATTTTTAATTTTAGAATTTCTGCATGCCATCTTACGAGATTTAAACTGATGATCTATAATCCAGAAAAATCCATAATCCGGAATCGCCGAAGTCCCGACGAGTCTGGATTAACGACTTTTGACTGTACCAAGTCGGGAGTAAGATGAAAACTTTATGCAGAAACCCCTAAGCCAGCTTTTGTGACGTAGTTACTTGGCAATGCAGCTAGGCTTAAACCACTTATGACATTTATACTGCCGTCTGAATGGAACAATAAGATTAATCGATCTCCATATTTTAGCTTTAAAAAAACTTAAAAAAAGCTTTAAAAAAATCTCAGCTTATACATGGAAATATATGGTATTACTGGATTTCTGTATTTGTCTATCATTTTTGTATTTTTAGGGGGATTTGATTTAAAAAAAAAAAAAAAAAAGACACTCTTTTTAAAACTGTATTACCATTCCTATAGTTAATCAGACATCACATGCTGTGAATCAGGAAGTAACGACTTCTCTCCGACAGTTAAGTAATAAACTACCTTATTTTAAAAAATATTCTGCAAATCACCAATACTAATTACTATGCAAACTGTAAAAAATCCCAAACTAATTATGGCACTTGTGTATTAACGTGACCACCTTCACACAATGTGACAGTTTTTTACAAATAAAAAGGTAAAAATAATTTATTGGACACAAACAGGCAATTTTTGTGAATTTTTAAAAACATTCCCAAACTATTGATATTTATCATAAGTTGGCAAACATTAAGCAAAAGAAGCACTTTAAATGTTTTAAATAAGAATTTAAATTATTAAATAAGGATTATGTTACATATAGAAAAACAAATTTTTCCTGAAATCCTTGTGCAATTTTTAGTGCTGTTTTTCTCCTCATCTACACAGCGATCTGTTGATCTGTCTTCTCTTTAAAAATGTCAGAGAACTGCAGAAACTTAGGACTGCATACCGGTTATCCATTTCATCGTTGCTCCCTTTAAACATTTTTCAACAAAATACTGTATTCCTGCAGAACTTCTACTATAATTTCTTCCATTGCTGGTGGTTCTTCCATCCATAAACAATATTTTAAAATTGAGCTAAAAATTAATATCACGATTTGTCTATACAAACTGATGGAACTTGGAATGCAACGAAACGAATGCATATGGAAATGATGCTGCTGCTTAACTAAAGAACTGTTCTGAGTATGTTTCTTGAAGAATGTTTATGCACACGATTTCGGAATTTGGCACATTCTGAAAATTTAGTGAATTGCACTAATGTAGTTGCAATAACACGCAAGTATCTTAATTACTATGCTAATTTATAATTAAAATCAAAAATTCCCTTTTAGATAAGTTTCACTTGCTCTTGAACTGTTTACATAAGATTTCGATCAAAATCATGGAAGACCAATACTTATTCATGTTAAAAAAAAAAAAATTCAGTGTGTGTGCAAAAATTTTTGGTAACTATCATAAAACCTTTTCCTAACAAAACAATCGATATTTATGTATTATCCTGTTGAATGGCCAAATAGTGTGAATTTTGTGCCAATTAACAACCCTGCCCATTAGAATTCTACAATAACAACTGACAACCATTGTTGAAATTTCTGCAAATGGTCAACAGGATAATACGTAAGTACCAAACAATCTATAAAGTTCTAAAATCCACAACATAATTATGAGTAATTTTGTGTATTTTTATAAAATTCTAAAATCTTCCAATTAAATTTTTCACCAATACATAAATATCTGTTTTAAAAAGATTTAAAATAAAATCTCCATCTTAGATATACAAAAATCATTAGACATGTATAATTAGTAATGTACTACTTTGAAAAAATAAAATTTAAACTTATATGAATATGAATAAAATGAATACAATAAACAGTAAGCACATTTATTTACCTTGATTTTATTCATACTGCATCTTGGGAGACTCAAGTTCTCAGAAATAGATGAGCTATTGAATCTTCAAGAGTTAGAGCAACGAAGATACACAATTAAGGAATAAAATAAGTTATTTATTCAATTTGTTATGGTAAAAATGGAAATCAAACAAAACTAGCGCATAGAACTGAATCTTTTGATTCTTATAATCAACGAAATTATCTACAAAAATAGCTTAGTATTTTTAATGACATTTGAATGGCTTGATTATAGATAATTTCCAGTACAAGTATACAATTTCTTTTCCTAATTAAATATTTTTCCATTTATAGTTTAAGCAGATTTCTGATTCAGACTTGCTGTAAATTCAAAGCTTTCTTTGATCTATACTTTCAATTTATAGATAGCTCAGAGACTGCAAAACGATGCTTTAGGTCACCGTTTCTTAAACTGTGGGTCGCCAAAAAATTTTGCAGTTTTGATATTTCTTTTAACTTATTATAATAATTTTACAATTACCAAATATTTTTACACAATGTATCTGAAAATAGATTAAGATAAGACAATACAAAGAAAAAAGGAAAACATTTCAACGCATTCTTTTTATAATAGAAACGTTCATTTTACTTGCTTTGCACATGACGCTGTCATTTCACCTGTTACTTATTTAAAATTTTCACATAATGACAGTTTCACATTTCACACGCGTGTGTGTCGGATTTGCGCAATGCTTATGGGGGTCCCACAAAATTTTCGTAAATATTATGGGGTCCTGGGGGGTCGCGAAAAAATCTCGGTGATAAAAAGAGGTTGCGACTGAAAAAAGTTTAAGAAACCCTGCTTTAGGTGAAAGCATCAGTTGGTTTACTTGACAAAAATCATCAGTTACTGCAGATGGCCATCCTAGACACAAGTTGCTAGTATTTTTTAAAATTTTTAAAGTAAAACACGGCATAGTCTTTGAAAATGCTGTAGCTTGCTAATGTTTCATCCATTGCTACCCAGCCAGTATAGTGGTTAGTGACACTGACTGCTATACTTATGGACCAGGGTTTGAATCCCAGAGAAAGCATGGATATTCGTAAGCATACAGTCTGTGTGTGACAAGGGGGCATTCAAAATGTGGAACTGTACAGTTAATGTAGCGGGACTATACTTGTATGACCAATGATGAAATTTTGGTATCCCACCCACTTCTACCAGAACTGCTTTAAGCCAACAGCACCTCTGTAGCCCCTGTTTAGCAGTATAACTGTAATTATAATTTCTCTAACAACTGCCAATGGAGCATTTTGAGGAACCCAAATTACCCCCCCCCCCAATGATTGGTGAAATGCTCACGACATTAAACATCATGCGCTGATCTTGCTGATTTTGAAGAATAGCCAACCATTGATCAGCTATGTCCGACCCTTATTTTTCGCAATCAGGTACTCTGCAGTGAATGCAGTGAAAAGCTTGTTTACCCTACAGGTGCTGTTTAGTTATATTATGAAGAAAACACATAGCAGAGTTGTGACAATTCATGCCATCTTTGAATAAGAGACTAAAGTTATCAATCATGCCAGAAAATTAAACTCATTTTCTACAGAATTTCGATACATTAAAGCAGAGGTTAGCAAACGTTTTTGGAAATGGCCACATTGTAAAATTCTTCAGCTCAAGTTAAGTACTAAACATGAAAATATGAATGGGTACTCAGCAAAAAAAGTTCATTTTTTAAATTATGAAATGATACTTTCACATAATATTTATACACATTTTACTAACAAAAATTAATAAAAGACTTACATATTAAATTAAATAGATTAAAATTTCTAATGCAAAGAATGTGACTGCTTTTTCTGAGATAATATTTCATCAGAACTAGAGTTCAAAATTACGAGTAGTAGTCCTACCATTAAAGTTGTTTGCATATGCACATCTCTTAATAATGATCTGAATTGCAATTTTACATACTTCATTTCTGAGAGTCTTTTCGCAGTGATAAGCCCTTCTAAATATGGATATTCATCCCCATATTTATATGATTTAAATTGAGAATATTTATCTTCCGAAGATATTTACAAAAATGAATTAGATCTCTTTCTGAATTAGATTTTTAATCTATCATTTTGCAAATCAATCACTTCCAGTTAGTCTAATATGAGCTCCTCAATTACACAGTCAAATGCATTTCGAAAATGGCAGTATCTTTTGCACTTGCATCAAGATCTAAAAAATGCTGTTGTAACTGCAGAATAAGTTCAGAAAATATCCAGTGCAAATTTTTTTCAGAAAGGGATTTCACTAATATTTGAAATATTTTACAGCATGGAAAATGGTCAGATTTGTTTAATGTTATATGCATTTCAAACAATGCAAATTTTTGGCGATATGCTTTGATGATAGAATAATTTTCACATAGGAGCGCTATTTTTTCCTGTAATTTAAACTGAATTTGTTGAGATATCCCATGATGTCTGTCACAAATGTTAATTTCCATAGCCATTTGCTGTCGATAATAAAAGCTGTGGATGATTTCTCTCACTTAAAAATATATTTATGATTTTATTCAATTCAAAGAATTTCTGCCAAACTTTCCCATTGTTGAGCCATCAAACCTATGAAGCCTATGATAAAAAGCAAGTCAGGATATTCAGATTTGATCAGTAAAAAAAATTCACGAAACTGGAGATAGTCAAGTCTACAAAAGCGAAGTTAACTACTGATACAACTGGTTCAATAAACGCATGACAGATTAAGATACTTCCCATAAATAGATTGCTAGTGAATACTGCAATGAATTACCAGAGGTACTAAATATTTAGCATCTTCATAAGTCTAAAAAATTTGTCCAACTAATCTTTTTTCCATTTCACATGTATTTTTTCCACCATCAGTTGTGACACATTTCGCCTGATTCCATTGCAAATAGTATCGTGTTAGCGTTTTCTCAACTTTCTTGAATATATTTTCATCTGCCACAATAGCACAGGTGACCACGATTACAATACATTTGAGTAAAAAACTTTCATGTGTTTGATGGCATCTTGTTCTAAAGTTAATTTTTACAATTTTTGTGTATGGAAACGGGTTCTGCTTTGGAGGGTGAGTTATAAACTGAAATTTGCTGCATATAAAAGGGAGGTTTTTTTTTTTTTTTTTATCTGCTACATTTAGAAAATGAGGTTCCCCGTGTTTAAATTTCCGATGTTCGAATTTCTAAAGTTTTAAAATTTAGGAAAGTCACACTAGGCTTATTCTTGACATGCAGATAAGTAATTTTCATATGATTGTAGCAGTGCATCTGTAAATACAACTGTATTAAATGTTGAAAGAATCTAAAATGGTATTTTACTTGATAGTAATTGACTATATATTCTACATCGGAGCCTGTTGCAGTTAGACATAAAAAGAAATAATATCTAGCAATTAGCTTTGCTCATAACAAAGTTTTGATAATGAAGCAGTAAGTAAAGCCTGATAGGCAATACAGTCAGAAATCGTTAGTTCGGACACCCATAATCCGGAATAATCTATAATCCGGACCTCAAAGCTACAAACTTTCTGTGCATGCCTCTTCCTTTACGGCTGCGAATATGCGTGTGTGCGTGCGCAAAATACGTTTACAAATGCGTGTTTAATGTATAACGGACGGTATAAGCTAAGCTAAAATTATCTAATTCAGTTAATGTTGCAGATTGCGTTGTTCCTTAATCTTCGAATTGGATCCGGCTTATTATTTTTTGCAGAGTGTTAGAACAATTTTATAAAAGTAAGCTTGAACTTTCGATTATGTCAAATAGAATTTCCGATATATATTTACTAATAAGTAAAGGATCTACAAAGTGAAAGTATGTTTCGAAGTCCGTTAAACAGAAAGTGAATTGACTAAATTGACTTTGGAGAAAAAATGGATAAAGGCATATCCTTTGATTATCTAATCATTCCGAAATATGTTTATCAATTTCACCCTGCTCTGCAGGGGGAGGGAAACGATGCAGCACGCAATGAATTGGAAGTTGATCTGTCAGCACTATCCTTATCTTCAGGGCAGATATTTTTATTTTATTTGGCTTATAATTCCTTACTAAATGTAGTATTTCATCTCGATGTACTCCGTCTTTGATATGATTTAAATCAAGTTCCTTGTCATTATAATTCACTTCCGATAGTGAAGAAAGTGACAGAGAGGTTATTGAAAACGAAAAAATTTCGATTGACAAATTAGTCGGTATTCTCGACACAGCAATTATAGGACAGCGGAACTTTGTAACTAAACAAGAAATTATGTCTGTTTAATAGAATTAAAGAGAAAGTATTATCACATGAAAGGAAGCAACTTAAATTGACAGAAATGTTTTATAAAGTAAACAAATAAATATTAAGCTTTTTCTTTTTGTAAATTTTGATACCCTTTAGATCATTGTTCTTTATTTCAAAAATTACGGTTTCATATTTTTAATTTTATAATTTCTGCATGCCATCTTACCAGATTTAAACTGATGATCTATAATCCGGAATCACCGAAGTCCCGACGAGTCCGGATTAACGACTTTTGACTGTACCATGTCCACCGCTACAGAAAAACTGTCAATACACTGGCATAGCAAAAAATGCACAAACATTCGCTGACAGGAGAGCTTTTAAAAACAATGACAAATGACAGAATACAACAGTGACACTAACAGTCATTATTCACAACATTTTAACTTAACTATCGGTTAGTGCAAAATAGCACATAATTTGATTTATTTTTCGCATAAAAAAGCAATTCTGCTGACCAGATTAAAAATGAGCGGCAGGCTGTATTTGGCCCACAGGATGTCATTTGCCTACCCCTGCATTAAAGCATCTAAATTTTCTGCAAATCATGCACTAGAAGAAAGACTTTCCAGGGTTCATAGCCACATTTTAGTTAAAAAAACAAGCACCTATAAGCACTTTTCAAGCACATTTAAGGAAAAAATAAGCACCTGTCTAATTACATTATATACAACTGCATAACCTTAAAGAAAAATTAGACTTGTAATTTAAAATATGAGCAATGCAATATTTATTAAGAGAATGAGCATTACCTCAACCATGGAAAACAATTAACTTTTTTTTTTTTTAAATTTTAAATGACAGTTCAATTTACAGAATTAGTTTACAAAGAGAGGGAAAAAAAACTATGC